CTGGCTGCTATTAACTGCAGGCTCTACGTTTTATTAAAATGTCATTGGTCTCTATAAATAGTTACAAAGAATTAACTATAATTATATGTATTTATTAATGTATTTATTTCTACATCACAAAAAGAAACACGGTTGTGTACAAAGTGATAATTCCACAAACTGGTTTGGTTAGAACGAGTTCCGTTTGGTAAAGGGTGGTTAAAAATCATTACCTTGTCTTCAATTTCATGTCAGACACAGAAAGAAGGAAAATGAGGCGAATCTGAGAATAATGGAGACTGCAATCATCTAACAAGAAGATAGAATAAGAAGTAGATGGGTTCACCTATCGCCAGTTCGTACTCCTCTCCGAACTTTTGGACAGGAGTAGAGGCCTGTCCTTTACTTCCTGTTTAAAAATGGTTTTCTGGCTCCTTTTAAAGTCTACTTCAACTCTGTAGTTCTAATGTCTCCGACTGAGCTCTGAAATTTAATTTACTAATTATTATTTTTTCTCTCCCAGTATGAGCAGATACGTTCGCCTATCGTCCTGTTCATACTCCTCCAAGGTCTTTTGAGTAAGAGTAGAGCTTTATCCCTTGTTCCCTGTTCAGAATTGGGTTTCCGGTTCCTTATATAAAGTCTACTTACATACTATACTTTTAATGTCTCCGACTGCACTTTGAAATGTTATTTACTAATTAAATCTTAACCACTTCAAGTCTAGAGTTCTTTCCTGTATAGCTCGAAGAACTTCACTTCTTACCCTTTTTTAGGATCATACAACACCATACAGTAACCCTCTACCTTGAGTGGCACTTGGGCCTTGTATTTAGTGAATATTAATAAAAAATGTTTATGCGTGAATAAGGGAGAAATACAGAATAGTTTACGTTGAATATTTGTGAGCTGAATTTACTCTAAATGGAATGTGCCTACTTGTCTTGAAAATCAGAATTCGTAAATCTTTCGGCATGAATAGAAAAGACGAGCGCAAATAGGTAACTATCTCAGCCACAAGAAACGTAAAATAATTTTTTAAGCTAACGATACGCTGTGGTAACCTGAACAAGATATATAATGGTAGCCTAGACGAATATCGTCTGTTTATTCTAGGGCAATGTGTTCTTGATAAATGTAATGCACACAACGAAGCTGAAATAGAAGTTAACGAGGAAATCTTTATAACTGTCAAGTGCGCGAACGCGCACACACACACATAAAATACAATAAAATTAATAGTTGCAGTTGGTAACGTGTCAATTGGCCCTGTGGCGCAACGGTAGCGCGTCTGACTCCAGATCAGAAGGTTGCGTGTTCAAATCACGTCGGGGTCAGGAAATTTTTTTTTTTTTTAAATCAAAAATCCTTATACCATAGAAAAATGGCGACAGGAAAATTGTGATGTACCAATTTTTTCTTTTTTTTTAACTTTTTGCCTTAAACCAGTATTCAAAACACTGACTACTGGTGTCGGTGGTAAATATGTGAGTATCCCAACCATGAGGCAGGCTAGAACTCTTTTTATTTTCTTGCTTACTATACAACAATAACGTGATACTTTTTCTTCAAAAGTAATTTTTAATGTATTTTTCTAGTATATATTTGCTAATGTGGTCAATGTTTAAAACATTTTTTAAAATACAAAACGGCTGCTTCCAATCTCTTTATAAAAACACTTTAACTTTTTTTCAGATACCGTACAACAAAAAAAGGTTCCGACTATTTCTCCATACGAGCAACGTAGATTACGTGGTTTGCATTCATCATCGTGGTCCTTTCAGAAAGGAAGTAACCAATCCAGAACAAGAGTTAAGAAACGCGGTCAAGCCGATAAGAATATTTTACAACTTACAAATGACAACCACACAAAAGTCAATTGGTTACATCCCAAGGACGAAGATCTGAACAGCTATAAGCAGGGTTTCAATTTTTCAACTGACAATCAACACGTTGAAATACGCGGGGTTGCCAATTCTACCCGATCATCGACAAGCGACTATGGAAGCCAAAAATGGCAGACGGTCAACACTCAGCCCTTTCGTTTATTGGTCAGCCACACGTCACTGCATTCAACCACACGACAACCACTAAACCCAATTCGGAAAAACGCTACTGTTCTCGGTTCAAGTCTGTTCAAGAATCACGAAAACGGAAGTCATGAAGTCTCCAAAAAGACGCAACTCGAGATACATGATTTTGCTGATAAACTCGCGAAATCGCACGATGCTGAGACTGAGGACATATTTACTCCACAAATACCGGACAAAGAATTACTCTTAACAAAGCGCAAATCCACTGAACACATGGCTAGGCGTGCTTCGTTTTGGCAGTCACGTGACACTCGAAAACCATCTTCCCCCACTTTCTATCCGCACTCTACAAAGACGTCAGCTCCAGCCACAAATCCAAAGGGTGTGCCGCTTAAAGAAAATGACCGAGGAAATGACAATTTCCCAAAATCAATGATTTTCCGGCCAACGATAAGCTCAAGGAAAGAGACGGGTAAGAGTCTGCATGTCTTCCAACGGAGTTTGAGCCCAGGGCCACACCTTATGGAACCAGGGAGAAATAGTTTCTCGTCGAACGATAGTAACAGTGTCTCACCAATGCAACAAATCAAACTAAAAATATCACCAAAGATCGATTTAGAGACAACAATCGGGAAAGTTTCGTCAAACAAACCAGTGATAGGTCTGCAGACAACAGGAAAATCCATGTTACTTCCAAAGACAGAAACATTAAAGGACAATTCTACAGAAATGCTGACAAGAAACAGTGAAAACAGAAATTTAGATCAAGTCAAAATTATTGATTCATTAAAGTCTTCGTGGTTTTTATTTTCTTCAAAACAGCCGAGCAAATCTCGAACTTTTCAGAGCAATTACGTGACCAGTACTCCAGCTGAAGTTCTATTAACTTTATCAACAAAACTCAAACACCGGAAAGATTTGTCTTCTCTTGTGCGTGCCGTAGACAAACCATTTGTTTCATCTGTGGACAAGAAAGGGTCTCCATTGAGCCACGTATCCTTGAATATGGGGTTAACGACACGAGTCGATAATGTCTCGCCTTCTGACAAAAGTATTCTAAAAGAGAATAAATCTTTAAATGTTGAAACATCTTCTCCTGTGCCAATGACGTCATCAACTCAAACCGAAAGAAAGAAACGAAAAAGAAAGAAAGGCAAAAATAAGAGAAGGCAAAGAACACAGAAAAAAAACAAGAAGAAACTGCTATCTAATCTGCAGGGTGTGTCGGTGGATAAAGATATGTCTCCAAATACTGATCAAAGGAGTACAACTAAAAAAGAAATCGATGATATAGACACTTCATTTAGAGGCCATTATGAACAACGATTGGATAAGCCAGGCGGATCCTCCGCTGGGATCAACACTTCAATGACTGAATTTAAAACATCTTTGCAGGGAGATCACGGTCAACAACGAAGACCTACATCGGCAACAGTAGATTCTGATTGGTTGGATAAGATAGATTATTCAGCGCGATCAACAGACGAGAGATTAACTAGATTAACATGGCCAGGGAAATCTCAGTCGGAGTCTACTGCACTTGGAACGGATCGCAAAGAGAAGTTATTGGATTCGAACAGCAAAAGACAGGCGGCTGAAGACATGAGACGACTTTTCAAGACAGGCTTACCCCTAGAGAATCACAAAGATTCCCCATCTGAGATCAATAGGTCGCCGTCCGTTTATCGATTTATTCCCAAAAGAAAAAAGGGGACTACTCGGAAGAGGAAAACTAAAAATAGCTATTTTCAAGAAACAAAATTTCCGAATTTTGACTCTTCTGCCTCGTCTGGACGGGTTCCGATAACGAAGAATTCGTCTCGGTTGCATTTTGCGAAAATAGCCACTGTTTTAAAGACAACAGTCAAACGAAGCGCACGACCCGTGGGCTCAGTAACCCAAACTCCCAATAAAAAGAAAAGTGCTCTCAATTCTAAAAGATGGAAGTTTCAACTCAGAAAACAAAAATATAAAACCAATGGATTTCACATTCCAAATCGAGAAACAAGAATCGAAGACAAAATGCAGTCTTTGGCTAATTCTGATTCTGTTAAGCAAGTCGCTTTTCATTCAAAAAGTCATTCGCTATTTGATCATGACGAAGTGGATAGACGTACAAACAGGAAGACGCAAACAAAAGTTGGACTTACCAAACAAGCTATAGATTCTTCATCGGTGTTGTATCCATTTGTACAAGAAAACATGCATACACTAACATTAAAAACAAGTTCACCGTTATCTGAGAATCGACCTGCATATTCTAAAATGGTTTCTGCGACCAGCTCGCCTTCCATTAGAAAGTTTCCTAGTTGGCAAAGAAGTACTCAAATCGAATTGTACAAAGGGAAAGAGTCACATCATGCCACGACAGCCATCTACGATCAACATATTTCTGAGATTTCTACATCGCTTCCATTGACATTTGACAAGAAAAACCCTAATGAAAAGAAACTAGAGTTTTTCGTGACAGAGGCTCCAAACTCTGTTGTAAATAACACAACCCAAGTTTCATCTCATTTCTCCAGTCGAATCATTCGTGGTACAGACGAATCAAAATCATCTCAAACATTTTCGGTGACCGCCTCTTCGGACAGAAACCATGATGCAACGAGCAAAACTGGTTTATATAAGGAACGGAAACCTGATTCATCAAACGAGAAAGACCTCAAAAAGCAGTTGTCATCAACTTTCGCTTCAGTACATTCGCAGACTAAAAGCACCACATTGTCATCAAAGGAAATTATTTCTGTTCACTTTACAGAAAAATCTACCGCATCACCAGCGTCTTCTCACCGTCCGGCTATTACTTCGAAATCCGCGCAACATGTAACAACATCAAAAAATCAAACATACAATTCGACTGACAATACGCATGTCCAAAACGTATCGATGATCGACCGCCAGTCGTCATTGCCAACATCACCAAGTACAAGAAAAAACTCATCAGATTTTTTTACTTTACATAAAGAGTATAGACAAACAAATAAAATGAACAGTGACGGCTTAGCTAAAGAACAGTCATCAAGAAGCAGTATACGTCAGGAGTCTGATGACACTTTCAGAGACACTTCAAGCGTCTCTGGATTCAGAACATCGACTCCTTTTCCCGCTATCTGGACGTTTTCGACACTAAGATCCAAATCAAATCAACAATCATCACAAAAGCCCAACACAAACAAACTACTTCCTTCCACGAAGTCTACATTTGCGGAATCTGTGGTGACCACTCATAATCCTAATTTGGTAACATCAAGACTCTTTGTCACTACTACCAAAACAAATGACCCCGACAAGAAAACTGCTCTATTTTTAGACCTTTCCCATAAAGAGCAACAATCCTTCTTCCATCCAACAACCTCATCGCCATCATCGTTTTTAACTTCTTCCACATCAAAATCAACTTTACCATTATTGTCGACAATCACATCACTAAAAACGCAATCATCACCAACATTGCCAAAAGCCAAACTGTCGTCTCCATCTTTGTCTTCTTCTTCCAATGATATCCAGAAAATTGTCACCCCTTCTCCTTCTGTTCGTAGGACACCAAACACAAGTATTTCCATCCGGCAGATCTCTTCAGTTTCAAACGGTAATCAAAAGAGTCAGCATCGATCAACGACAAAACCACTAACCAAACTTCAACAGAGTATTAAAAATGAACATTCAAAAGTCCCAACTTCCACAATGTCCTCAACAAATAAAATTATCACATCAAATAAAAACACTTTAAAATTCACTAATTCAACAAAGAAACCTTTTAAAGCAAATCCCACTACATCAGCTAAATCTACAATTAAAACCTTTATAACTACGCCTGCAGGTAAATCAGCGAAGAAGAAAAGTATGCCCGAAACTACATTGTCTATCAGCACCATCACTATTACAGATGAATTAATTTCAACGACTGATTCTCTGAAACCAAAATATGACCAAACAAAATCGCCACCGCCTCCTGATTCTCTCGATTACGAAGAACTCCTTGTAAAATGTAAAGTAAAATTGAATACCGATATCAACGGAAGCGATTTCATAAACAAAATTAAAAACGGTAAGTGTTAAAAACCTTAAAAATTCGCAAGTTTTAGGCTATAATCCTAGCAGTCATAAGACATAACTCTGAAAATGTTTGACCATCCACTATAGCGTTTTCGTTAAGAAGATTGAGTTTTCTTCATCATTTCACCCCAAACAAGGAGATAATGCCATTAACACGCAAGCAGTTACTGGACGTTAAAAAAAATGAGAAGACTTTAGTGAGGAGAAAGGACAATAAAATAACAGGTTCCGGGAAGACAAAAAATTGCGATTAACATTGCATTTAAATTTGTGAAGATTGTAGGTGGCAGTGAAACAAGTAACCAGGAGAGAATAAACTATTAGAATAGAAATTACGGTTAAATCTATCTAGTTCAGCAGTAAAAACGATGAGACCTAATTGCCAATCTAGTAGTATCTTTAAATTCATGTGGTCGAGGTACCAAGGAGGAGAGCTCATTAGAACAACTGCCGTGAAAATATTTATAGAAAAGACAGAGGGAGGTCACATCACGGATGTGCGAAAATGATTGAAAAGGAGATGCCAGGTCAGGACTGAAAATATTTCAGATCCTTCTTTGGATTTTGTCGAGGATTTCGAAGTTTGTTTCTTTCTAGGTGCTCTACCGATTTCGTCTTGGGCCAAACTTTTTTAGCCCCCAAAGTATCTGATTTCATCAACTCTGTTGTCCGAGATTTGGATCAGGGAGAGGATCATTAGAAAAATAAGGCAAAATCTACCCTACTTCCTTTTCATTGGGGTTGTTCTTGGTTAGAAATGCTTTCATTAATTCCTGGCCACTAACAATCCCTTTTTCTTAGTTTTTAATTCCCAAACTACAGAAAGACGTAACTCGTTGTAACAAATTATCTGCGTCATGATCAAATTGTTTCTCCATCGGTGGTAATATTTAGTTTATTAGTTCAGAAAATGATTAAACAATGTGAGTATGAAGTATCAGTAAAATAACTGGATGACATTAAAAAGCTAAACTCTTGCTAACACATTTAACACATTTGAATACAATCCTCGTTAAAATATTAACTGGGAATTTTTGTTCATTTTTTTTTCTAGCCACAGAAGTTGCATTCACGCTAAATGACATTAAAGGGAATGAAATATTTTAGGCATTTATTCTATCATATAAATTTCATATTGGTCACCTCGATGTGGCGTAATGGTTAGCAAGCTTGAACAATTACAACTGAGTAGTGAGTACGTTCCTCACTGGGTTCCCCATAATTTCAGCCTTAGGCCACATCTAAGCTACGTTTAGAAAATCACATTGGGCACCTCGAGGCGGTATAATGTTTTGCAAGTCTGTCTCGCTAGAACAATTACGACTGAGTAGTGAGTTCGATCCTCACTGGGTTCCCCATACTTTCGGCCTTGGGCCACATCTAAGCTACGTTTAGAAAATCGCCATACAAATTTGACATTATATATTTTTTGTGGATTCCGGGTTGAAATCCGGTACCAATAAATAACAAACGCCAGGAATGAATATATGAAAATAATGTATTAACGTAATAATACAAACTGGTAAAGCAGGTTAGTAGTTCCAGGAATACGGGTTAGTAGCAAAATATATATACAGTCTTTGGTATTGAAGTATCGCTGTATGACTTCTTACTGAGTCTACGTGCTCGCTCATTGTGACTCCTACAACGCTGTTACCTCACCCTCACTCTTCCGGTTACCTACAACCTTTTACTCTGTCACTCTGGACTCGACTCTTCGGTCTTGCTCTCTCGGGTCTTCACGTAGCCGTAGTATATGTATATACTGGGTGAGTCCATTTGTGTAAAAAGGGGTGGACCCCTCAACAATATTTATCTGTCGCGCATTGTTGTGTCGGAAACCTACCACCCCTCTTGAAGATGAACTTGTCTGCGAACAAAAACGTTAAATAGTGGTATGTCAGAAGACAGAGAGTCAGAGAAGTTCTTGGCTGAGCTAGTTATAGACTACTCAGGCGATTTCTGTACCTTCTTACCAACCTAATAAACCCCTTTTTATTGTTACGTGTTATTTGGCGTTTGTCTTTCTTTACTAACCCCAAATCAACATCATAACACGCATCCTTACCTCCTCTATTTGAGATAACTAAATATTCCGTTATTAAAGGCATCTCTTAAAACCAATAAACGAACATGCCATAACAACGGCATATCTCATTAGTAACTAGAGAAGAACCGACATCGATTTTTATTTCGTGTTTCAGGGAATATTTTTCCTTTTAATGATTTAAATATCATCATTCTTTCTTGAATGCGACAAAAAAGTTAAGTGTAAAAATATAAATTCTACTTTAAACGTGCAGAAAATATAATCAATGCAGCTAACAAATTATTTATATTAAAACGTTGTGCTAGATTGGCAGCGAGGTCTCATAATTTTACTGTTAAAATTGCTAGACGTAACCGTAAGTTCTATACTAACAGTTTCTTCTCTCGCACTTGTCGGTTGTACAACTATATTCCGACTTCTTGCTTTCCAGTCAACTTTGAACTTCAAAAATGAAAATGATAGGTCAGTCGATATCTTCTATCTTCTTAGTTACTGTTTCTTTTTTTTTTTATTGGCTTTGCCCATTAATAATGCTTTTTCTCAAATTATTTCACACTCAGTAATCCCTTATATCTTAAGGGTTTGTCGCCTTGCTTAAAGTGAAATTATTAATATATACATACATATATATATATATATATATATATATATATATATATATATATATATATATATATAGTGTGGGGCATAATTATAAGGCCAGCTGAATTTTTATCTTTAAACTTTAGCAATTAAGATAATTTTTTATTATTTTGTATATTATTATAAAGTATTAATAATCCGAAAGTTTCAAATAATTGATATGAGTAGTAAATCACTTCCTGTAAAATTATTCAAAAACTCGAAATATATATATATATATATAAATTTTATATATATATATATATATATATATATATATATATATATATATATATATATAAGGTGAACTTTGAAGTCAGCACACAGAGGCGACAGGGTGTTTCATGCTAGACGCAATCTTCAGGCGGCCTGACGATTGCGTCTAGCATGAAACAGCCTGTCGCCTCACTTTTTTATATTTAAATTTACATATTGATATTGAGCACTTTATCTCATAAATATACCACACCTTAAAACTATATATATATATATATATATATATATATATATATATATATATATATATATATATATATATAGTTGTATAGATATGAGTTTGCAACTCAGGGTTTCACGCTATTATCTGATGATCGCAAAGGCGTGAAACCCAAGGTTATAATATCATATCCATACAACTGCTTATTTTCTATCACAGATATTGAGCACTTTCCACTAAGCAATGCATATATATATACATATATATATATATATATATATGTGTGTGTGTGTGTGTATTACCGTTATTCTTTGGCGGTACAGAAAAACTAGTTTAGTTAATAAATCCTACCAATAACACTATGCCAGTTCTTTGACAATGCAATAAAAGTGCCTGTTAGTTGTAAGTTTCTGTGCTAATAGTATATTCATGATTTTCTTAAAAATGACGAAAGGGATTCTACTTCGTCTAATGATATTAGTAATTGGTAAGTCTCTTTGCGAAAGATAAACAAACTGGAAGAGGACAGTGTTGAAAAATACGAGAAGTAACAAAAAGCGGGAAAGTGATATTATTTATGAATGGTCACAAACGTCACTCAGGATGATAATCATCAGATCAAACTATTTTTCAGCCTTTTGTGACTTATCTATAGTAAAGCTTGTAATTAATATAGATATATGATTTTAAAGGAAACGTATGCTTACTATCAAAAAGAGTTGAAATTTCTTAAAAAAAATAATGAGAAAAGCGGGCCTGGAGAATTCAATATTCCTATGATATATTAAAGGCAGGAGAAGCAACAGAAAACAGTGAGTAAACTGTTTAATGAACTTCTGCGAATGGGTGATAGAACAGGGACAAAGATGGATCGCAGTGAGTGAAAAGTCTCTTAGAGCAACAAAAAGTAAAAAAAAAATGTGGCTAATCATAATTGCCCACACTTTAAAAGGACATGAACGAAGAAGAAGAATCATAATATCAGGATAATGGCTTCTCGTTGATTCTCGCTGTTATCTGTTGCTTCTCTTATTTTATCAAACCCGGTTCACAAACCATCCGAATTTGCATGCAACATCTCGCTCCCTAAGATATCTGAACCGCAATGATCCAGGTTTTAACATTTTGCCAGAAATACGGTTATAAAGCTGATTTAAATATTTTTTTATCTATATTTCATTGTATTAAAATTTATCCTCCATTTTTCAGGTCTTGTGAACAGCTACTTGGAAGGTCGAAAGTTACTAAAGCAACGCAAGTCTGGCAGCACAAACAAAAGACGCAAACGAGAAGCGATTACTTACGTGCTAGGGCAAAACATTGGCACACATGCTGTCCATTATGATGAAACTGAAGGGATCGAAGCTAAGGTTAGCGGTCAACTTCCTTGATACACGTATTCCCTGTTTCCCGAAAATTTGCTTTACGTCATCTTACCTTTACGAAATATTTTCGATAGTCCCATGCCCAACTGGTTTTGAATTCAGAGTTGTCCTCTAGATTGATTAACAACCAAGGTGTTATACTGGAACACACCTATTATATAGTTAATAGACTCTCCCACCTATAATAAGTAGTAGTAGTAGCAATCGCGAAGTCGCTCACTGAGTTGGTCAGTAAGTCGATGCCGGACATTAAAGTATCAGCCACCACAACTAGATTGCTGCGTCATTAACTATTATATCAAGTTCCTAACGTTATTGTACGTCGAACATTTTTAGGACCGACTTAGTGAAATACAAGCCTCCACTGTGAAACTACATTATAACACAAAGTCAGATAATCTAGTCTGCTATGCGATTTAACCCATAGCTGGGGATAAAAAGATAGATTTATACCTATCAAATATATGCAAGTGAATGTAATGGATTCTAACTTCTGCTTCCTCAGCCAATAACTGCTATGAACATATTCTTGAACAGCCAAGTCAAGTGCCACACATGATCATCGGCGATCATGTCTCTTTCGATTCATAACTGACCAGGTAGAAGATTTCTTTCTTTTGAATGGTTGCCAACCAAGGCTATAGGACCCAGTCTGTCCTGCTAGAATTGCAGATAGGAGAAGGGTATTTGTGCGTAAGTGAATATAACGAACCAGATCTGGAATTCGAACTCGGAACTCCAATTCCTAATTCCGAGCCAATATCCTTTACACCACATCCTCTTGAATTGTAGAGGTTTGAAAAAGGTGCATTTTGATTGCGATTTTGTCTTGGATGATAGAAATTTGATTTCTTACCGGGGCAAAGACGAAGCTTTGAACGCAAAATTGTGTGTCCATCACCTAACTCTACCTATCCAACAGTCACTATGTCACACTTATAAACATCTTCATACACAATGCTTAACCTACTTAGTGAGCTTGAGTGAATGGATGGCGAAACAAGGTTTAGGATTGTTATATAGGAATAAAATATCACTGCCGACACTTGAGTTTGAACATAGATCGCCAGTGAGCAAACACAGGCGATCCCATTATTGAATTAAGTAGACCACGTGACCAAAGAGGAAACGCAGCCTGTGTCTAATTGATCTCCAATTCTAGTCTATCCTCTATATTATACGGATCGCTATTTCTATTCTATCCTCTATTACTATACGGACCGCTATTCACTATACTATTTCTCTATTCGGATCACTATACGGATTACTATTCGAGAGAGTATTATCGACTAAGTACTATTAGTGCGAGTTTTATTCGAAGGCGTCTGATACCAGTATTTTTCAACGGCGTACTATAGTTGCATCTGCAATTACAAAGTCTCTACTACAACGAGCATTACGAAAGTGACAACAAGTATTCGTTGACATTACAAAAAGGAGAAATAACAAAAAGACAAAATTTATTAAGAGCTATGAATGACAGGAAATTGTGGAGGGCCATGATCGCCTACGTCCTGCAGTAGATCTTTTAAAAACAGTTTCAATTATTTACTACGGATTCTATCAAAGTATAGAGACAAATTGTTTACATTTCTAAGACTGGTTATTTTCTCTTTGTCTATTAGCTTGTGATCTGTGATGATACGCATCATGTGGTTTTTGGAATGTTTCAATTTCAGGTGAAATATTTTCAGTTCATACCACACAATCTAAACCATATAAAATAACTGTGAGAACGTACAGAAACTTTGTTTTTGTGTCGATTGGCACCCTTGTTGATTTCAGCATACCTTTATGTTTTCCGAAAGCAGCCCACAAAAGATTTATTCAGTGTTTTACTACAAACTTCTTGGTTGTTCTTGCTTGTTAGCACATGACCAAAATATGCAAAATCAGTCATTTAATTTCATTTATTTTATTTCTTTAATTGGTGGCTATGTTTTGTCTGTTTTCCTTGAAGCAGTTTTCTTGAGGATTAATCCAACGCCTATTTTTTTATATTATGGGAAAAGCAGTGAAAATATTTAGAGCTCCTTTAGATCGTTGGTTATCAGAGCTATACCATCTGCATCTGAGGAATTTGATATTATTTGATCTCAATAGAGAAATCTGCCAAAGATGAGAGTATCTGATCCAAAGGAAAGATGCCGATTCCTACATAAATAATCATACCATATTTGGTAGGTACTTGTAATGACAAAAGTACGCAGGTGTAGCCTTTAAGAAAGCTTTATTAAACTGAGAATACAAGGTTCGCGTATAGTGTCCTTTTATAGTCCCAGTAAACAGAAATAGATTTCTCAAAGAGGAGAGTAACAAAACAAGGGGGCACCACTCTTGATTATTCATAAAAGTACTAGTCTTGTATAACAGGCAATGAGTCAGATAACTTCATTGTTTTCTCAGATTCACTATCCGTACTTACACCATTAAGAAATATAAAAACACAAACAATCCCTTAATAGTTAAAATCACTAATCGAGATCAATCTCATCTGCATAAAAAGAAACTCGTCTTCTGTGGAGTAACCCGCCGTATCGGCATCCACAGAAACGGAAAAGCTGATATGACAGCAAAGGAATCCTTAAATGAATATTTCAAATTTGAAAATCCCCTATATACACTTCAAGGCAACTATAAACTCATACATTCTAAGCAAGTGGTAAGAGCTATTGAACTACCACACACACAAAAAAAAACTCGTTCTAGGAGAATGGCATCAGGACCACGAACTTACTCGGAAGGAATAATTCGTCCTTTCAAGAATCAGAATAGAACACACATATATCACTCATTCATTTAAAAAAAATTGAACATACACACCTGAATGCACAGTATGTAGCGTAAAACATATGTATAGCAACCTTGCCCCTATACGTCAACGATTTTACGACATGACTAGTCGAGAGAACCCTTTCAAGAAGATAAAAGCAGGTTATACTGGCCTACTTGAAAGGGATTGGTTTATACAACTAATTATAGGACAAAATATGTTCGTTCTAACATTCATTGACTCGTTTTCTACTGCTTATCAACATTTTGCAGGTTATTTAAAGTCAGAAAATATTTTTAGATTATAAGAGTTTTTTTTTTTTTAGATAATAATGATTTAGTGATACAAGTCCTACCAATTAACCCATAGCGGGCGGGAAAAGAGGTGAATTCATACCTTTCCCAAGAATATTTGCTCGTAAATAAATATAAACGAATCCAACAGAAATTGAAATTCGGCTCTCCGATTAACAATTCTGAGCCATTATCCATTACGACACCCGCACACCTAAGCTTATAGCATCTGGTATTCCCAAGCGGCCACCCATCTAGTTACTGACCAGAGTCGACGTTGCTTTAACTTAGTTGATCGTATTGATGCACCAAAAAATAATTGCTGTGAATATATTTCTAGAAAAGGCACGGAAAAAATACATTACGGCCGTGGGAAAACAACTGAAGTTGAGATGTCATTTTAATTCGTCCTGGTATTCCCAATTTTATTCACTCTCTTTATGAAGTTTTTTTGATGATGGGTATAACTGCTTACAAAATGTTTTACTTGTTGGTACATAAGACGCACGTTCAAATAAAAGAAATGCTATCTGTCTATATTTCTAAGATGAGGTATTATGTACACTATTTACATTAATTAAATATACGACTTGTAATGTATGGCTTTTAATGTAAAGTATTTCTTTTACACTATTTACATTATTCGGACTATTGTCCTCATCTTTATTGCCATATTTGTCACAACGTTTCGGCCGATGTACGCTCCAGCTTTCTTCAGGTGGTTGGAATGTCGAACCCTTTATTTCGGTCGCTGGGGTAGACTGTTCTAGTTCCACGTTCTGTGTCTAATGGATATCAGTTATCAGTTATCCCCTGTTAATACTTTATCCACTGTGCCATGTGTTCTTACGGACACATGACCCAGTGGATGACCCAAAGAGTTGTGAGTTCAATACCTGGCTAAGGCAGTAGAGAACTTGAACAGGGGAATTAACAGGAGAACTGATAATTGACATCCATTAGACATGGCCCGTGAAACTGGAACAGTGTACCCCAGTGAGCGAAATAAAGGATTCAGTTCGACATTCCAATTTAATCAAAAATATCTTTTCGGCGTTGAATAATCAGCAGAGTTGCTGTTAAAACAGAAAATTTAATCAACTATTCTTGTAGAATAACAAACTACAGTCTCAAAAAAGATGATTATTGAATTACCCATTAAATAATGATTATGTGATTCTTATTTTTTTTATTTATTTAGCTCACCCGCCGGCCTCGAAGAGACAAGCTAGTTGAAATCTACTTCCAAATGCTAGAATACGGATCAGTCATCGCCACCGACACTGCCATTAAAGTCTTCTCACAGTTGCAGATTACAGAGATTAGCGTTAATCTAAAATATCCAGTAAGTATTTTGCGCGATCTGTTTTACAAAATAACGATATCTGTTATTGATTTTAGATTCCTCGATTTGTATCAGAAGCATTCTAGATTATCAGTTGTATGATACCAAAATGGACATTGCAGATTATCAAACAAGTTAAATGCCGCAATGAGTTTACCTAGAGTTACTTCCGGTCTTTGAATGAGAAACCACGAAGCCTGTATCCGGTTTTGCAAGCGTGTAACGAGAATGTTGGACATATGCATATTTCTAAAGAATAAATGAATTTATTTTTAGTACGACATTTTCCTTACCGTCCTGGGTATGACGATAAACTACATCCGCGTCCTGGGTTAGACGATAAAGTACGTCTAGCAGCAAGGCCTCTGATCAGGAGGTTTTGAGGAGAGTGGAACCACCTCTTAATTGCTGGTGTTCCCAGGTTCACCCTGACCCGGAGTGATAGCACCTGTTAGAGTCCCAGCTATGGGCAAATAGTTAACACCCAAACTTGTGTAAAAATAGGTTTTAATACCAGAAATACTTTGTAATAAAAAAAAAATTATAACCAACAATAATTTTTGAAAGAAAAATTATTATCAGCAATACTTTAAAAAAAAAATACCATCAATGCAAACAGCTATACATTCTTTGTAAAAAATATGACCAGCTATAGATTTCTTCAAGGAAAAATATTCCCAGAAATAGATTTTTGAAGAAAAACATTACCAGCAATAAAAATTTTGTCGGCATTAAATAACCCATTGAGGTTGATATGCCGTAAAACAAACCAAACCAAACCAAACCAAACATTTTCCTTACTCCAAATGTTATTTTTAGTGGATAGCCGTGTTTGAAGTAGAAACCCCATTTTTATTTGAAACAGTGTGTATTAAGTCTATCGGCCTGTTCACTCGAGAAAATTAATAAACGGAAAGCACATTTTCTTTATTAAATTTTCTCGTGTTCGCGGGCCGACAAATGTCATGCACACTATTTAAGATAGAAAATGGGGCTTTTATTTCAAACACGAGTATCCACTAAAAATAACATTTAAAATGATAACATATGGATATATAAACAACTTTATAAACTTTTCTAAGACAACAGCATCATAAAACATTAAATAATATTAAATTCTTTTTACTGTTCCAGACAAGATAGAATCTTTAAAATTTTAAAATTTATAAGTTTATATAGTGTTCAATTCAATAGTAATTCATAAATAATGGCTGGCTACTTCCGAAAGCACCAGTCTGCTAGGGTGTGTAGCCAATCCCTGTTGAAGATGCCTGCTCAGACACATTTGTACTTGTTCAATCTATAGAGTACACCTGTAATTTTTACTGCAATTATGCTGAGCGGGCCTTGTTAGTTTTTAGGAGAGAGCACTTAATCTGGCATGGCCAGCAGTTTGAACAACCCCAGTACGCACAAACCGTCCGCCCCGATGACTAGTTACTTCGTGTTAACAAAATCGGTGATGCATTCCGAATAGTTCTGTCTAATTTCACCCACAGGGCTTGGGTCAACCCGTAGGGTATGGTTTTCAGACACTTTCCAAAGGTGCTGTACGTTGGGATCACCTCCCTAGACCGATAACATCAAGAAGTCACCTTCCTAACAAATCGACCATGGTGAGATTCGAACCTGGGTCACATGGTCGGAATGCGAACGTTCTAACTACCCGGGTTCAAATTTGAATGTTGCTTTTAAGTGCCATGAATTGCCACTTATTTTTGTGTGTGTTATATGTTTCAGATCTTTCACCAAATCAAGGCTATCAAACACGTGATGTTCCAGTCTCAACATCCACTTAAACCCTCAATGACAAATTGGTTGATGGTGACAATCGCTGCACCCTCAATACCAGTCTTTTGCGTTATTTGTATTCTATTAACGAGTTGGTACCGAAACCACATTCGACTTCGACGGAAAGCGATGGCTGAAATCTCCCGTGGGAGCCATGTAAGTAAATAAGCATAATTGAAACGATTATTCTTGTATAAATTATGTACATTATTTCTTTTGATTCTGATGAAGACCAAGTAATCTCATAGCCTTAGTACTTTTCTTATTAGTTTCGTTGTTTTTAACACAACATTAAAGCAGGTTCATCCATCTATTCTTTCGACTACGATTTGCTTCACTATTTTGTTATTATGTATCTGCTGAGTATTCACACAATACATATTTTTTGGCTCTCACTGGGGATCAAGTAGCTGCATATCTCCTTATTAACACAGCACTCCTCAATATTCTTACTGATTTTAGCAAGACGGTCACTTGGATGTCTTTACTTCTTCTTCCGATCTCAAGTAATCTTTCACAATTGTTCCAAGTGCGCCAGTAATGATGGGCGCATGTGTTACTTTCAGAATGATTGTATTTGTCCTCGCTATGCTTTCACGCGAAGAGTATCTGATGGCAATTCACAGATCAAGTCTCCAGCACTTTAATTTATTTTCACTATTCCGTTTTTTTAAGTATTTCACCCATGGTAAGGTGATAAATTCACTGAAACGCAAAGAGTTACTAATGATGAAAGACAAAAGAGCGAAAGAAATTTTTAAAAAAACCCTTACTGAGGAGAAACGACAATAAAAAGAACAGGATTAAAAGTGACAGAAGATAACGATTGATGGTGTATTTATTTATTTATTTGTAGATTGTAGTTGACAGAAAAGCAAGAAGTTAGAAAAGAGTTCCACAGGCGAGAAGTGCAAGAAAAGAAACTATTAGAATAGAACTTATGGTTACATCTCGCAATTTCAACATTTAAATTATGGAACCTTGCGCTTAAATTCGTGAAGTCAATGCACCAAAGAATAATTGCCATGAAACTATTTGTAGAAAAGGCAATCATCATCATCATGGCTTGGCTTCGCAAAACAAAGATCAAGATGGAGTCTGTACACGTCGCTTGCACGTTTGTGACTGATAAGTCCAATGCAGGACAAACATACACGGGCACACTAGTTGCAGCTAAAAGTCCGGCCTGAGCTCGATGGCATAGCGTTACAGTACTTCATCTTCTTGTCCGTGAGAGCGGCCCTGCAGGTATTTTCAAAGAAGGAGACAGCAGGGTTGATGGTGAGACGCCAAGTGTCACGGTTCTCAGCATGGGTTGACCGTTGGCAATGGTTGATGTGACAGGCAACAAAGGATTTTTTCAGGCAATCTTTGAATCGCTTCTTTGGTGCCCCTCTGCCGTGATAGCCAATGGAGTGCTCGCTGTATAATAAAATTTTAGGCAAGCGATGATTCTCCGTCCTGGAAACATGTGTTGTACTTGTTGCACGTTCAAATAAAAGAAATGCTAACATTACACTGCATCCAATGTAGTAGTATTATGCGTAAGTAAACGTTTCACGATGCTCAAAATGAACAGCTACGGACCTTGAATAAGTTACAGTGAGTGATAGACCGAGTGATATACATGTATTGCATAGGCCAGCAAATACGGTAATTAATGAAGTAGCCTTTTTCTTCTGAGTGCTGCGTCCCGTTTAGTATATAGGCAGTCATGGCTCGCCCCAATTTCCTATCTTTTGTAACACTAAGCATTGTTTATCCCTGACCATCCTTTACAGGCCTTGTTCTGCCATCCATTTATACAAGCTCGTTAGGTATCTTACACACAGTTTCCATCTTCCTCTCGTACCTTCCATGTCCTGTGAGTGTCCAATTCTCTAAGTCACCTTCCCATGTTGCATGTTCTAGAAATTTTAACTGGTTCTTTCTTATTCTAAGTCAGTGTTTCTCAACGTTTTTAAGCAATGGCACACCTAGGAGCAAATGAAAATATCACGGCACACTTAGCAAACTTTTTAAAGGCTATACATTTAAATGTTAGGAAATGAAACCAAAGACTTTTAAAGAAATACACGCACAAATATGAAATTACTTTATTCAACTATTAAAAAAAAATAGTTTTTAAAAAAGAAATATGAAAAGAAAGTATTTAAAATAATATAATCGAAGAATAGTGAAAAGTATTATTCGTAAAAAAGGTTTAATATATATTCATTTATTCAAATACTAACGCTGTACCAGTACTAGTTACACACACACACACATACACACACACACACACACATATATATATATATATATATATATATGAAGAAATATAGTCTTAAGGTGTGCTATATTTATGGGATAAAGTGCTCAATATCAGAGATAGAGCGTGTGTAAATATAAAAGTGAACATTGAAGTCAACGCTTAGAGGTGATAGTCTGTTTCATGCTAGACGATTGCGAAATTACTGGCCTGACGATTGTGTCTAGCATGAAAGAGACTGTCGCCTCTAAAGTGTTGACTTAATGTTCACTTATATATATATATATATATATATATATATATATATATATATATATATATATATATATATATATATATATATATTACTATGTACATGCTGCTTATGACCATGAAGCCCGGGTTCGAATCTCACCATGGTCGATTTGTCAGAAAGGTGATTTCCTGATGTTATCGGATTGGGTGGGGTCGATCCAAGCGTGCGGCACCTTTGAAAAGTGCCTGAGGGTTGACCCAAGCTTTACGACGGGTTGACCCAAGCTTTGTGGGTGAAACTAGGAAGACGGGACCCTTGGGGCCGTCGATAGCTGTGCTAGCACGAAGTCACAATTAATCGTGATCGAGTGCTTGAGCTTCCTGGCCTTGTTCAAATTGTTGATCATGCTAGATAACACGCTCTTTCTCAGAAACTGTAAGGAAGTTCTGCTCAGCAGTGTAAACCACCGGTGGGCTCTGTCGGTGTTGAATAAACACAAATGCGCCTGAGCAAGCGCCTGCACTAGAAATTGGCTAGCCGTCCTAGTAAACGGGTATCCTCGAATACGAGTGGCCAACTATACTATTTATTGGTATATAATACTGGCTTATTAATTCTATTTAATTATTAACAGGTTCTCTTTACTTTCGAAACTTATTCGTCATGCAAAGTGCTTATCCAAGTTTATGACGAAGTTTTTTTCCTTTCACACTCTTTTTATTTCTGTAAAACTGACTAAAAAGCAAACATTTCAATCAGTGTCTGTATATTCATTCTAGTACGCAGAATCGCTGGCTGACGTTGGCCTGGAGATCGATATGGAAAAGGGCGAAATTGTCAGTCGGGCCGGATCCACCTCTGTGTTGTGGACAGATATTACAGCTGGCGACACCTTGGAGAGGATGGGCATGGCTGGCGATTTTCCTAATGCGGATTGCGTGAGTTCGCGGAGCAACTCGTGGAATGCTCGTGGTGATCCACGAACAAGTGCGAACCCAGGCGGACGGGGCCTACGCCAATCACCCGTCGCTAAGCAATGCCAACGAAACGGAAAGTACGTGAAGAAAAAGAACAGTGTCAGCAGTTTCCATTTTGAAAATAATTTGGAAGACGAATGGTAAGTAAAACTTTTTTATAGATATATTTTTCATAATGGATTGAGAACAGATATATTGTTTTGATTATTACCTTGGATTTTGCAAGTATTCTTTGTAAATTTGATTCTTTTTGAATGTTTCTCAAAAAGAGACTTAACGTCGGAATTAACCCAGTCCTAATTGCCCTAATAAATAAATGGATACACATTTCCCGACGTCAAAAATGTTATTTTTACCTTAAATGAATCTTTAAAATTTGACTTGCGCCTTAGACATATAATACATTTTTTAGGCCTACATAAAATAAAATAAAAGTTATTTTTCCAGAATTTTGTTCAATGCCAAAAATTCATTAATTCATTCTACTACTACAACTAGTAACAACTAATAGACCCGAAGAATGAACAATCTGTTTTTTGTGTGTGTACCATTTAGATACATGGCATCCCAATTCTAGACATGCATACTGTCACAACTCTACTCTGATACAATTCTTATCTTGCCTAACAAATTAGTGTACTATTAAAAACAAAAAGAAACTACTTATTACCATAACATTCTTAAAATAACATTAATTCTGCCAACATAAAATATGACTTTGGGAACATGGTAAGAACGAAAACTGGTAAGTTTTCTATGACCTTTTTTTTGGAAATATTTTGTAGATTTAGTATATAAAACGGTTTTACGCCATCAAATACTGGTTGTTGCTCTGTGATTTGTAGGCTTAGTAATAACTTGAGGTAATATTAAGTTGCAGGTTTAAATAACAGGATAGACTTGGTTTTCTAGCCTTGGATGGCAGCCAGTTTTATAAAAGGAAAAAATTTGAATTTAAAATCGTGGAGAATGCAACGGGAAACCACTCCACTATCTTTCCTCTGAAGTCATGGTAATTCACAAGTAATAAAGGAAAGGAATCTTTGAAGAGACATGATCGTCTACTTTCCCGAAGAAATATGGCATGAATAAAATAATATTAAACTAAACTTCACTCAGATATTTATATCGATATATACATGAAAAAACTCTTGTGTTGCGTATTTAAATGATAGTGTAGTTGATGTAACTAGCACTGTGAACATTATTTACGGAATATTTTTAACTGCCTCCGAAACTTGAAAGTTTATACCTATTGATGACGGTCTCCAACACGTACTAACACAACGTCCGATTTCACGGTTTCGGTTCTATTTTATAAATTTGATACTTCCGTAAGTTACATTAATAACGATTTGATTTCAACTGCCTTTTAAGATGTATTGCAATGGTTCCCTTATTGCTTGGAAATATCGTTTTCTTTTTCCAGTTTTCAAGGTACATGTGACATGGGTCAAATATTTACGTATTTTCGTTTCTGTATTCTTTGCTCTGGAGCAATAGGGCAGGTTGATTTTGGAACTTTTGTATTGGACTCAATTTGAAAGTTGCGGTTTGACATGATAAATAAAGAGACAATATTTTTCCAACTCGTGAATGGTTTTTCAGGAAACGAGTTTCAAGATTAAGTTTAGGTTCAAAATCGTAGCGTTGGAATTTTATTCCGGTGACCAGTGAAGCCCTTATAGCACAGCCTTATAAAATTTATAATTTATGGAAGTTTTAAAAATTGTATATGGACAACATGCAAGGCACACGCACATTATTACTAAATCATTCTACCATCAAATAAGTTCCTCATTTACTTCAAAGGGAAATTATATTGAACAGTTTAGCTATATCATGTAATATGTTATATAATGCAGTAGTTTTAGTGCGATTTTCAATAAACAGTGCAAATTTAAAACATTTTGTCTTATAATTTTTGCCCAGTAGTATTATGGTGTTATATATACCTTTACCTATTTTTTGTTTTTATTAATTATTATCTAATAAATGATCTAACAAATCTTATTCACTGAGAAAAGCCTTTTTTTTGTAATCTTTTACAATGTTTTTATAGTTTTTACTTGTCGAATGCATTAAAAAATTGCATATTTTGCTTGTGGTGATTCATAATTAGAATTCCAGTTTGAATATATTTTCCATTCAATGTTTCTAATACAAAAAATATCAACTTTATTCTTGAAAGAATAAAATGTTGATGTCACTTTATAAGAAATTAAGTATTTCTGTACATTTTTTTCAGGTAATCTTTAAAACTAAACACTCATAAAACGGTAAAAACTGTGAATCTAATTTTTGGTGTCAGTAAACCCGTGCTTTTACTCTGTGAGTGCAATGATGATTTGTAAAATTTCTCTTGGCGGCCTTGGCCATCATGATTATAATCACCGCTGTCACTCCATTATGGAAGACAACGAAAGACTCATTCACATAAGGAATTCTTCCCTTACTAATTGTATCTTGTGACCCAGTACTACCTGACGATTGGAAATTAAGAGCTCTTTTTATTCAGTGAAATGTTTAAGACAAGATATAATACTCTTATAGTCAATCCTGTCTGACGTCCTAAGAAAACATTAAGATAAACAATGAAGCACATAGCTTTTTAATCTGATTAGGAAATAGATTGAATGATTTAAAATTACTGACATCTACTGTAAAATGCAAGATTTTAGTCAATCGAATATGCTATATAATTTTATGGACCTGATATAAAATTATATGTCCAGCTTAAAGAAAACTTCATGTCCCAATTGGTTACCTGTAACTCATTTCCGAGTATAGATGGCCACTTGTATTCTAGGATACCCGTCTATTAGAGCGGCTAGCCAATCCTTATTGCAGACGCCTGCTCAGGCGCATTTGTGTTTATTCAACATTCACAGCGCCTTCCTGTGGTTTATTCTACAACTATGCAGTTTCGGTTTCTGGGAAAAGAGCGTGATCAACAATTTGAGCAACACCAGCACGCTCAAGCCCTCGGCCACGATGACTTGTGTCTTCGTACAGCTATCGACGGCGCCTAAGGGTTCCGTTTACCCAAAGCTTGGTTTTCAGGCACTTTCCAAAGTGTGATAGACACCTCAAGTCCAATAATGTCAGGAAGTTTCCTTCGACCAAATTCAAATCGACCAGGGTGAGATTCGAACCCCAATCTCATGATCAGAATGCGAACGTTCTAACCACTCGGCCACGTGTCCATAGTATAACCGAGTATTTCGTGATTATTTCCTAGTATAACCTGATTATTTACATGCGGCCTATTGTCCTCATCTTTGCTTTTGTTTCATCAGATGTATGTCGATCCTGCAAGGAATTCGGAATTAAACCCTTTATTTAATCTACAGGGACAGACTGTTTACGTCTAGTGGGACAATAGCTTAGTGGATTAAAATATTGGTTCGTGGATTTGGTGACATAGTAATTGTGAGTTCAATCCCTGGGTCGGCCAGTGTGTACTTTAATTCAGTGGAAGCAGGCGGAGTAATAACTGAGCAGTATTAAAAATAAGAACTAAACGAGATATCTCTAGACATGGGCAGTGGATTAAATAAAAGCTTCAGTTCAGAATTCCCTGTAGGTTACCCGGGTCGACGTACACCTGATAAATCAAGAAAATGTTGTGATAACAACAACAAAGATGAGGACACTAGTCTGCATGTAAATAGTGTAAATAATGATAACTTCTCGTTCCAGAAATTCAGACAGAAATATAACTTAGTTATTCTGATGTTTATTTTCTCTTTTTCATCATGCGGTGTCAAGAACAAGACTATCCGCAGATGACTGTCAGTGGGATTAGGGTGAAGGCTTAGGAATTCATACTATGCCTATAAGTAGAACACACTGACATGCCAAAAATCATGGGAAAGCAGTGTGTAAAAGTATCTACATGGTACAATCGTACTTTGACATCATGGAAATGCCTAGAACTATGTTATTTTCTAACATTGGGTGAGTCTTTATTAACAGCGGCGAGGCTGCTTATGGCAAGGAAATGTGTTAACCACAGATTCTTAATGATAGTAACCACAGGTTATAATTTTCTAGAGACAAGAGACAGGTTTAAATTACAGCCACGTTCAATGCAAGAGTTATCAGACATATATCTAGAAGGACAGTTCAGCATTCTTTAGCTTCCACGAGATATGGGAGCGGAAGGCCCATCACGGAGTCTCTGTTAAAATCATGATACCGGATAAAGCACCACAGCTTGGCTCGTGACGTCGTTTATTATGTCCCAAAACGTGTGACGTGGTCTGATGAGTCATGGCTTCAGTTTTTTCGAGCTGATGGCTGAGTCCGAGAGTGGTGCTCACTTTATGAAACCCTAGATCCTCGTTGGGTGTGGTTCCGTAACTATATGGAGTGTGGCATGAAGTCAACATAAAAACATTATTGACCAAATATCATTACGTTTCATTGCCCATTTGCATTCATTCATGCTCTCCATGTATACCAAGATGGGTTACTCTAGCAGGGTAATGTATTGTGTCAGTGGCCCCAAATTGTCCAAAATCGGTCTGAAGAGCATTTGGGAGGATTCCGATAATGATGTGGTTACCACGATTGCTCGACATTAGCCCAGTTGAGCATTTATAGGACGTGGTGGAGAGGTCTATTCACATGCAAGATTACAAATATCAGTGAGCTTTGATTGAAGATCTCTTCAGAGGCTTTCCGATCAATTGAGGAATCGATGCCCCGTTGAGATGTTGCACTTCGCTAGGCTAGGGAGGATCCTGGACAATACTAGGCTAGAGAGG